GGTTTTGAAAATTTTTATTAATTATCGTCCAATTGTTAAATTGTTGCTTTTTTGATAATAAAAGTATTTTTATTTGAGACCTTTTTGTGAATCTTTTAAATATTGTCTAATCATATGAATCTATAAAAAATAATTGTCACATGAATGATCAGTAAGTTTGTTATATTGTTTTGTTTCTATTTATCATTGTTTGATAAATTGATTATTTTAGATATGTGAAATGATCATGCTTATGCAAAATGGGACATGTGATATTAAATTTGATTATTTTGATAGCATGTGTTATATGGCATATATATGCTTAGCATGCTTACAATGTTTTAATTTTATATATCACAAAATTATTTTTTGAAATTTCAGCCATTAAGTTTATAGCCCAATAAAGTGCATATTGTGATATGTGTTTTAGAACCTTATTTTCCATGGACATATGAAATAATATATATTGGCTATAATGATGTATAAAAAACATTTAGATTTTATACTAGTTTGTTGAAACAGTGAGAGAGTTTTGCTATTAAAGTTATGAATTATATTATGAAAAGTAACATGTATTAAATAATTGCATAGTGAATTTGCTTCAAATAAATTGTTAAACTAGTTTTTAAAATCTTTTGTTTTTTCAAACTACTTACTAAATCAAGTGCACTTTCCTAAGACATTAATTGTTTTGTATTACCATAAAGATCTTAGGTAATAAATAAATATAAGTTGTCAAAGTTAAAATGGATATGAGTAAAAGTTTTAGTCTATAAAAGTAAGTAACATTAGTTTTACAAATTTCAAGGTTTTGACTGAAATATATTATTGTTAAGACTTACTAGATTAACTTGTCTTAATGTTTATGTCACAACTCATGTTTGGTGGTGTTAAAAATATTATATTCCTCACATGAACATAAGATTGATTTATACCATAATCGTTGTGTATATATTATTCTCCAGAAAAATTATGCATTATTGACTTTCATCATATTCTATAATATTGAGATTTATGGTATGAAAATTATGTAATTTGTTGAATCTCATAATAAAGTACTTACATTGGTAGATGTTCTTTGTGGCTAGCCAATCAATTTTTAATCTTGAAATTTCATGTATTCATGCTTGAAATAATGAAATTCTATAATAAAATATTATTAATTGTTAAGACAATTTACTTGATAGTATGACATGCTAAGTTTTTTATAGATTGATACATGATTACGGAACATAACTTGAAAATTTTTAAAGTGCATAAATAATAATGGGCCTTTTAAGTTTTAACTTCTAGTAATCCATAGAGGTACGTTTAGATTAGTATCTCACATAAAGTATCACATTTATAAATAGACATAAGAAAATCATTTGAACCGTGATCATTATGAAATTTTTTATATTGTTTAGGGATTGTCTCTAAGTTATCACATTACTTGCCCAAAATGGGTGATTATATATTTTTAATTTAGAGATAATTGTCAACTATTTTTGTGAAGTGAAAAGATATATAAACCTAGGAAATTTATCTGCTCAAATGGGATAAATTTTTGAAAGTTTTGTATTTTCATTATTTTGAGGTGTGATCACATAAAGGTTTAAAGTCATATCTAAAAGAATGTCCAAGGTCACAGTTAGGATATGGCACCTTGATTGTTTTGATAAGACTAGTAATAATATCAACATGATTAAAGTCTTATCTGTTTGGATCATTGATTGGCTTTGGTCTTAATTTCAATTTATTTGAATAATTGTCATTATAAATTAATACCTATCATGAGTGAGAAGTTCTTGAATGCTTTGTTTAACATAGTAAATGTATAGATATTAGCCACTTTAATTTATTACATTTGGAATATATATATATATATATGTATGTTGTCAAATTACTTATGATAAACAAGGTGATTTGCTTTCGTACAAAAAAGTTTTAGACCTGTTATGATATCTCAAGTTATTTTAAGTAAAATTGATAGTTGTTGAAATATAATTTTATTTTAATAAATATTTATATTGGTTGTTTAACTCTTAATTAAGATATTGGTTTGATTATTTTAGCTAACATTATCAAACTTAGCAATTATCAAATTTTTAACGGTATATTGTTGTCATTTATTGACAGTACATTTTAAAGAAAATTGTAATTTTTTTTAAGGAACTCACATATAAGGGGAGAATTTTGTTTTACAGTTATCACAGATGTGAGAGTTTTAAGGAACAAATTTTGTACAAATAAGTAAATTACTTTTTTTATTAGTTCAATCCTTTTTTTATGATCTTTCCTGAATTTTGTTCATTTACTTTTGAAAAAGAATAAAAATTTTATAGTTTTATCTCATGTCACTTTTCTTATTTTGAATTATATATAGAGTTCAATCTTCAAAGTTACCAAAAAAAATATTATAAAAGTTTTGACTTTGTTGTATTTTGTTAAGTAAAAAAAAAACAACTATTCTGTTAAATGAAGTGAAAATCAATGGGAGTTTTTTTGCGTATCCTTTAAAGTATTAAAATCTCATAAATATCCTAAAGTTATTGTTTTGAAGATATAATGTGTTAAGGTCAGCAGGAGCTCATAAGCTATTGGTATGGGCACATTTTAGGCATGATCTATAATTTAATGAATTTTAAGTTGGTTGAAAATGTTCTCATGTTCATAATATGTTAGTAATTTTGTAAGCGGTTTAGTAATATGCTCATGTTCATAATATGTTTATGATTCTAAATTTGATTAGAATATGTTTGTGATTCAATAAATCAGTAAGAGTCATTGTGATTTGATTATGTGATGACATATTTTATCTATGTGATTATTATGGTATAACGAAGCTCATAATATAGATATCTGTAGATATGGAAAATAGAATCTATTAGGTTGTGATTGATTATGTCAATGATGCATTATAAATTTTATTTTGAAACCATTGTTGTTTTGGGTTTTTTACTCTGTTAAATGCATCACATGTGAATACTAATTACCTATAAGATATAGTTTGAGATGAATAAGTTCATGATGTACCATAAAGTTAAGTGGACATAACTATTTTATATATACATCATGGTTATTATTTGTATATATGTTTATTATTGCATGTGTACAAATCATATTGACATGTCATATTATAAAATCTTATGACTTGGTATATGTCGTAAATACGACTTTAATGTCGTTTCAATATATCCTAAAGTGATACCAACAAGTAATCTCAAGTGTTAGAAGGAAACATATAGACACATTTGGATGCTACAGAAATTTCTCAATAAGTTTAAAGAAATCAACAAGAGGACTAAGAATGAAAATAACACATTGAGGTTATATTTAGGTGTTATTTTCTTATTACACAACCACACTAAAATCCATTGTCGATAGTCTCTGGTACTTATAACCATAGATTAGTCTTATGCTAATAAAGGGCATAATAGTTGCCATTATTCGGTATTAGATAGTTTTATTAGATAAGATCATTAAGTTGTTGTCTTAAAGGTTAAATTATTTTTAAAACTGTGGCCACATCATAATAGAGTTAATCAACATTGAATATTGTTTTCTAAATTATATATTTTTTTAAATCGAACAACCCAGTTAATATTGTCCAAGTGAGAAAAGTTAGAATTTTTCATAACATGAACTACTATTAATTGATGATTTTAATGTTTAATAAAATTGACTAATAAGTTTAGTTTTAATTCGAGATAAGTATAAGAGCCAAAATAATTTAAAGTGATCAATTAATTGAGGGTTTTGTATATCTTATTAAGTCAGTGTGATTTGTTAGTTATATAAGCCATTGGCCCAATAAAGCTTTAATGGAAAAGCTTCTAAGGTTTTAATAAAATTGGCTAAAGCCCCTTTTCATTTCTAATTAATAATATTTACCCACTGAAAGCTGCCAGTAAGAAATGAATGAAGAAAAAAATTTAGTTTCTTCAAAAAATCTATAGTTGCATCCATTTTTCAATTATTGCTACCTGAATAAATATGTTAATTAATTTATCTGGCTATGATGTTCTAATATTCACATAGTAATCTTAGATTATGCTTACATTCAAAATAATAATCCTTTAAAGGATTATCTTGACCTAATGAGATCAAGTAGACCAGCATGTCTAAGTTAGATAAAAAAATGTCTTACATTAAAGATTTTGAGATCAATTGGATCCGCAAATGACTCGAGCAGTCAAGCTACTTGTTAAAATAGATTTTTATTAAACAAGTTTAAATTTGAACATAAAGTAGCTCTTGTATAACAAATTAATCATGTTTGACACCGAGCTAACACAAGGCAATTGAACGAAGTTGGCTTGGGTTTAATTTTTAAGTGAAAAATTAAGGGTCAATAGATTTTGCACCAATTTAGATTTTTGATTAATCCAATATGAGTTGTTCAGTGGTTGATTAGATCATTAAGTTTCATATAATTTTTTTGTTTGAGATTATTTGAATTGAATTATTTTGGATTTAAGTTGTTAAAATGATCAAATTAATCATTTAAGTCATGTTGGAAATAGTTTGGATTAGAAAAAATATAGTAAATAAATATGATTAAAAATTTTAAAATTTTGATATTATTATAAAAGCTGATATGGTTATTAAATATCTAAAATAAATGCATAAACTTATAAAAATATTTAAAATATAAAAATAATATAATGATTCTTATGTCAAACACATTTTTTTCTTAAAAAACATTTTTCTAGGAGGTTTTTAGTTTCGGTTTGAAAGACAAACATTTAAATTTAAAAGTCACATTTTCTTGTTACATAAAACTTGAAATTTAGTTTAATTAATTTATATAATTATTTTAAAAAGATATTTATTAAATATGAAATTTTGATTTTAATATCTGTAATTTTTTTATTCTCAAGTAACAAATTTTTTAAAAAATAATATTAAAATTATATAAAACTGATTTTAAATGCAAAAAAATTACTATCCAAAGTTATGCTAAACTAGAATTTATTCTAGATTTAAATAAGATATTTTGAGTACAAAATCATTTGTGGCCATGACTTTATAGTCAATTTTATTCGAATTAATAACTTTGATTTCTGACTAATCTGATCAAGTCGTTTACATTGGGTCAATTTTTTTAACCTAACTTCAGCTAATTTCTCGAATTCACACGTGTTGCACGCTCTACCACTTTCTGCGTTTATCTTCCCAAGAATCCATTGTTCAATTGAGGCAAGAGAAAATCAAGGCTGATAAACACTCGCAGGGAAAAGCTGTATGCATAAACAAACATACGGATACAAACATTGCAATTATGTTGCCCTTCCGTTAACATATGTTTAAATAGAGAAATAAGTCTTCATCTTCGTCCTAATTTGCTCCCATGGAGAACTTCTCAATAATATTTCTCATAACCTTCCTTCAATTTGCCATTTTTGTTGCATCAGAGCAGACTCCTTACAACCCAACAGATAATATCACCCTGAATTGTGGAGCTCCTTTTGATACATTTGGTCCAGATGGCCGGTTTTGGGCAGGAGACAATAGCTCAAAATTTGGTCCTTTTGAATCATCCCAGAACAAATCAGAAGTCTATGAAGCTGATGGTCCAGGTGGCTCTGTAGATACTGTACCTTACATGACTTCCCGTGTCTCTACTTCCGAGTTCAAGTACACTTTCAGTGTTACTCCTGGCCAGAAATTTGTTCGCCTCTACTTTCATTCGGCTTCATATAAAAAATTTGACCGATCCAAGGCCTTTTTCTCTGTCAAAGCAGGTTCTTTCACTTTACTGAAAAATTTCAGTGCTTTCCTTGTTGCTGAATCATCGAGGCATAAATCATTTTTTAGAGAATTCTGCTTGCATATAGAAGAGAATCAGGTGTTGGACCTAATTTTCACTCCATCACCTAGTGCTTCAAATGATACTTACGCTTTCATAAATGGAATCGAGATTGTGTCAATGCCTTCCAATCTTTACTACGCTCCACTGGAATCATTAGAAGGCATCCCTTACATTGGCCAAAGTACTACTTTCTGGATATACAATTACACCGCTCTTCAAATGTTTTATAGATTGAATGTTGGTGGCCGATCCATCTCACCAATGGGTGATACTGGCATGTTCAGGAGCTGGTTTGATGACTTTGGTTACGTGTCGAGTCCACAAAGTAATTTCACTTTCAACATCACAGCACCAATAAATTACACAAAAATTCCGAGATACACTGCACCGGAGGAGGTTTATCGGACAGCTCGGACATTGGGACGCAATCGTACTTACAACGAGAAGCACAACTTAACATGGAGATTGCCCGTGGATTCAGGCTTCAAGTATTTGGTAAGGCTTCATTTCTGTGAACCTCAAGAGGTGTTAGATTCACCGGGCTACAAACAGTTTCGGATCTTTTTAAACGGTCAAATGGCTGAAGCTCTTTTTGACGTAATTATATGGAGTGCCCATAGCAATGTTCCAATTTATAAGGATTATGTTCTGTTGATATCAAAAAAAAAAGGAAAGGAGAATAAGCAGGATCATATCACCATAGATCTGCCCCCTGTAGTTGCTAAGTATTATGATGTCATCTTGAATGGAATTGAAGTGTTCAAATTGAACAATTCTGATGGTAATTTGGCCGGTTCCAATCCTGAACTACTGGTGGTTGCACCGTCTAATTCCACGGAAGAAAAGTCCAAGATGAAGCACAGAATGGTAATAGTTGGTGGTGGGTGTGCAGTTGGTTTGCTTATCCTTCTTTCTTTATTGACTTGCATGTTTGTTCGGCGATATAGAAAGAGGCAGCACTACAGTTCCTACTCGGGACCGAATTGGTTTTGCTGGTGGATAAATCCTAACAAAGGGAAATCCACAAAGTCATCATTTTTACCGGAAGAAAGATGCTGCCATTTTTCACTGGATGAGATCAAAGCTGCTACCAACAACTTCAATGATGATTTAGTTATTGGGAAAGGTGGCTTTGGCAAAGTATACAAAGGTTTCTTGAATGAAGGGGAAACAATAGTTGCAATCAAGCGCCTGAATCCAGAGTCTGGACAAGGTGTTATAGAGTTCTTGACAGAGATTGAGATGCTATCTCAGCTTCGCCACATTCATTTGGTGTCCTTAATTGGATATTGCTATGAGAATCGTGAGATGATACTCGTGTATGATTTTATGAGTAATGGGACTCTTTCCGATCACCTCTATGGCACAAATTATGATCCTCTGACCTGGAAGCAAAGGCTGGAGATATGCAAGGGAGCAGCTATTGGATTGAACTACCTTCATACAGAAGTGAAGCCTACCGTTATTCACCGTGACGTGAAGACAGACAACATTCTTCTAGATGATAAATTTACTGCCAAAGTTTCGGATTTCGGGTTATCAAAAGAGGACCCAAAAGTTGACATGCTTGATACCAAAGTAAAGGGCACACGGGGATACTTGGATCCAGAGTATGCCCGAGGTCATGGATTAACAGAAAAATCAGACGTATATTCTTTTGGTGTAGTGTTATTTGAAGTTTTATGTGGAAGAAAGGCTTTGGATAGGAAACTGCCAGAGGGTCAAGTTAACCTGGCTTATTGGGCTAGAACATGTATTGCGGATGGGACTCTTTATACGGTTATTGATCCATATCTGATTGGAAAGATAGCTCCAGAGTGTTTTAAAGTGTATGTTGAAATTGCAGAAAATTGCATAGCAGAAATGGGAGTCAATAGGCCATCAATGAATGATGTGATGGAAAAGTTGGGATTTGCAATAGAGCTGCAAGAGGCTGCTGATCTTGAGAAAGAGAAGATCAACCCCGGAGGCGATCTTAGCTACCCGGATATTGTGTTCCCGGTTGCTCGGAACATGAATTTCGATGGTGAATCAGGAGTGGATTCGGAGTTGGATTCTAATATATACAGTGGAATTGGTATATTAGATTCTAATACTACTGGAATGACTTATCCTACTATTGATTCTAGTAACTCGTCGGATATGTTCTCGAGCACCAACAACACAAAAAGCATGGGAAATTAGACAAAAGAATGGAGACTGCAGCCAAAAGCTTAATCCCTTTCTTTACGTTTTTTGCTAATCAATAATGTGGATGTAACTTAGGTGTGTTTAAGTAGTTTCATGCCTTGTTTCCTGATTGATTGATTTTGTAAGTCTTGATCATTTATATTCATATCAGTGTTTGGTTGGTTTGGAAATACTATAATTTTCGGTACTTACAACTTTCTTGAATAAATTAGATCGACAAAGAAATAAATGTACCTAGTGCTATTAAAAAAAAAAAGAAAAGAAAAGAGACCACCATCTTCACAATTAAGGAGTTTCAACTAGAAAGCAATTATCATTTTTCTTTTACAAAAGAAAGGTTGAGTTTGAAGACTGGGAAAAAAATTGTAGAGGTTATAATTTAAACTTTAAATTTCTAAATTTAAAAATAATTATATAAATTAACTAAAATAACTCGAAATTAAGCAATTATTCAATATGATGCCATGGCCATGTTCTTCTTATTTTAGCTCTTTAGATTCTCTTTGATTTATTTTTTAATTTATTCTATAATGTTTCACGTTCCATGTCTTCTTTTTGCATTCCTTCTCCATTATTACTTATTCCTTTTCGCTAGTCAAAAACAATAAAAGGGAGAATCAATAAAATTCCCTCTGGTATATGAAAAAGTTGAAGTACCAAATAAAATCTTTCTTATATTCTTTTCATTTCCCTCTTTTCGGTTCTTGGCTTTATATATGAATAAAAGTTGTAATCACCAATGAAAAGTTTCTGATATTCTATTCATTCCGATGCATGTCACCTTTAATTTCTTTTATTTTAATTTTATAATTATTTAATCACAACTAAAAATTATATAAAAATTCATCATTTATAAGTGTTAATTTTAAAAATATTTTAATAAATTTTACATAATTTTAAGTTTTAATTTATTAATTATAATTAATTCCCTCTTGTTACGTTCTCAATAAGAATTAATTTAATTTTGAAAATTAATTAATAAGACCATACATCCAAAGTCTAAAAGCACAAAATACGACTTCCAGAAAAGAATTATAAAATCATGAAACTATTTCTCTCTTTTTGACAAATGTGGTTCACTCTCTGCTTTATTTTATCAGTCCTAACCTATTTCTCCATTGTTCAGTTTTTGAGACTTTGTCCTTTCCTCGATAAAGGCCTCTAAAACTTTAACCAATCAGCAAATACATAGAAAATTGAAGAAATATATAAAAAAAAATATTAGTCTTCCTTGACGTGACAACTGGTTCCCCTGGGTGACGCCTTTATTAATCATCCATTGCTTCATCCGTTGAGTGACGCCTTTATTAATCATCAATTGCTTTATCCATGGACAACTTCCTAATCATTTTCTTAAGAGAAACATTTCCAACCGTTATTGTGAATTTAAATTTTTTATTTGTAGTTAATAATATTTATGCTAAATTTAGTGAATTGTAAGTATAATTTTGGTTAAAATATTTTAATAAAATAATGTTTAATGAAAATTTATCATCTAATTCATGAATAATGTATACATTTAATTCTCATAATCATATAAATATATAAAACTCAAATATTTTACAATAAATGTTAAGTTTTTTACAAGTAAATTCTAAGCTTATATCTTCTAATTTTATTACATAAAATACAATAGACTTTTAATTGTCTAATATTTATATGTATTTTTTACTTTTGATTTTCTTCTATAAATTTTAAGCTTATATCTCCTAATTATATTATATAAAACATAATGGATTTTTGGTTGTTTAATATTTATATGTATTCTTGACATTTGATTTTTTTTCTATTCATATTCTTTAAAACCATTATTTATTAAATTTTATTGAAACTTTTAATTTTCTAACGTTTATGTTTTTCACTTTTGATTTTTTTATAACTCATGGTTTTTGATCTCCCTTTTAATGATAAGATAAAGATGATTATATAAGTATATTTCATACTTGTATTATAATTTCTTTTTCCAATCATGAGATTTTTTTATTGTATTTTTTTTATAATTTTTAATTTTTAATCATGATTTATGATTTTTTTATTCGATATTTTAAGTTTTTTATCCAATTGGTGTTTTTCTTATAGTATTTGCATTTTTATTTTATTTTTTTCATGATCATATTTTTTCACTTTAAATTTGAGATTTAACCAATTGGAATATGTCAAGATTGCTAAATTAACTTTTGAAAGATAATTATTTGATCAAATTTTGTGTTTGCAAAATGTGAGATGTTTATAATTATAAGACTAAAATTATAATTATATCTTCAAGATTTAAGGTATTTTTTTTTTAATATTTTCTATATTGATACTATTATAAGAGCAATGATTTGTTTTAAAAGCAATTGTGCATAAGACTACTGCTAGCATTCCTCTTCGTACGAAATTTATCTCATTAGACAAAAAAAAGGAAATATTAAAAAGGACGGAAAAAAAAGTGACCACGTTGATCCTTCAGTTTCTTATTTATCTTTTCAAACATGGATAAAGAAAATTAAAACACTCCTTCTATTTCATTTTATTTTTTCTTTTTTTGAACACTTAAATGTTTTACTTTTTCTATATTCTAAAATTATTTTCATGATATGTTAGAACCTTTTGTCATTAGAAATTGGAACTTCAAATTTATGGAAAGAAATTAAATTTAATATTGTATAAACTAAAATCAAAGTATTTTTCTTAAACTTTGTGCAAGTCAATGAGAGATTAACATTACGGGACGAAACAAGTATTAAAAGAATAAAAAAAAAGAAAACAAAACAAAATAAAGGCCCAAGTAGAATGAAAAAAAACAAACGAGGGTGTTACCTTCGATCAAGCATGACAATGGGTAGTTTGGACAAGTTTACATTCATCTCAATTTTGACACCTTTTTTTTTAATAATTCAACCTAATTTCGATTTCAACTCGACATTGAGTTATTATTTTTATAACTAATCCCAATTTGACACATAAAATTATAATCTTTGTCTGATTTAAATTAATCTAAAATTAATTAAATGATATAAATTAATATAATATTCATACAGTTGTTAATATAAATTTTATATAAATATATAAAAGCCAAAGCATTTAGCATAAAAGGAAATAATCCTATGTAGATAAGTTATATTTTTAACATGTGGAATGTCATAGGTAAATGTCATGTGTTATATAATTAATGAATATGATTATATAATTAATTTTAAAACAATTTATTATGGCTAAATTAATTATGTTTAAATACCAATATTCTTGCCTCTTATAAATTAGCTATAATTAATTTAATCATTAATTTAAAAAATCAAATTTTAAATAGAAAGTTAATTAATCATGAATAATTTTGCTTATTTACTAATCTTTATTTTATGATTATATAAATATATTAATTTGTTAGAACAGTCTAATATATATATATATATAGACAAACACACGCAGAAGATAACTTTAATATATTAACTTGAAAAAAAAATAAAATAAATCTATCAATGTAGGGTAATTTTTTATATATGAATAGTGTCAAATGATGTCATGTGTTTTGATGATAATTAACAATTCACATTTCAAAATTAAAATTACAAACTAATTTAATCTTTAATATTTTTGCAATTATGGTCCAAAAAATATTTTTATCTATTCAATGGCTTTAATTTTAGTTTTTTTTTTTTAACTTTAAGTATGAATATTTCTTTAATTTTTTTACAATAAAAATCTTATTGGCCATGCATTCAATAGCTTTAATTTTGTTTTGAATTCTTTTAATTTTTTTACACTTACATTACCTTAATTTTGGGTGTTTGATTATAAAAATAAAAAGAATTGATAGGTCAAATTATATATTTAAAATTTAAACTCTATAATAATATGTAATTGAGGAGACAAAAATTTTTCATAATAATATGTAGTTGATTGATAGTTCGGTACTTGAAATTCACATTTTATGAGTATACATGTTGTCTATATATATATATATATAATGGTGATATGATGAAGTTAACACATACAACAACTATTGTCAAAAAATTTTCATTTGTATTCTTCTGTTCTCTGTTACCCTTGATACATTATTTAAATAATGGTATAACTTTTTTATATTTTACATCAATTTTTTGTATTTTATACTACACTCTAAAGGAGAGTTGTATGAATATAACTATGTAAGTATTATTATTTTTTGTGACATTTTCCTTTTTTATTTAAAACTATATTTTTATAAATATATTTTCCTTGATTATTCAAGTTAGAATTATTAGATTAATTTTAATTATGGTGATTTAAGTTTTTTTCTTTTTATTTCAGTTTTGGTTTAGTGTTCTTAAATATTTTACTATGAAAATTAATTGATAATTAGTCTTTTCTTTTTAATTTTATAGTTGCAAAGTTTTCATGTTAAAACAAAAAGTTATAATGTTAAAAAAGAACGTGCATAATGATAAATTTTTTTATCAAAAGTTTAATTTTTTTCATAAACCTCTTTGAATGAGTTTTTGATTTATTATTAATATTTGGCACTTATGTGTTTCTATCTCTTTGATGAATTCATTGGTCAATTTGCCAAAAAAAATTATTAAAAGTCTACTATTCTCATTTTTTTATTTGATTATTAAGTATTTTGTTTGCAATGAATAGGCAAAGAGATTATTCTTCACTTATTTTTATTTACAATTTTAATTTTATTTTTTGTATGTGATTCAACAAAAAGTTTAACCAATTTGATATTATTTGAACTTATATTGTGTGTGTGTATATATATATATATATATACACACACACACATATAATGAAGTTAACACATACAACAACTATTGTCAAAAAATTTTCATTTGTATTCTTCTATTCTCCTTTACACTTGGTACGTAGTTTAAATAATGATATTACTTTTTTATATTTTACATCAATTTTCTACGTTTTATAATAAGCTCCAAAAGAGAGTTGTAGGATCATAACTATATAAGTATTATTATTTTTTGTGACATCTTCTTTTTTTTATCTAAAATTAAATTTTTTTAAATATATTTTCCTTGATTATTCAAGTTAGAATTATTAGATTAATTTTAATTATGGTTATTTAAGTTTTTTTTCTTTTTATTTCAGTTTTGGTTTAGTGTTCTTAAATATTTTACTATGAAAATTAATTGATAATTAATCTTTTCTTTTTAATTTTATAGTTGCAAAGTTTTCATATTAAA